TGCGCGCGTGCATTAGTTAATAACATTCATACCTATAATTGCAGGTGGTGGAAGGATTTGGACCTTGTTTCTAAGCTTCCTTATGCTAGAGATAGAGTGGTAGAATGTTTCTTTTGGGCTATGGGAGTTTATCATGAACCTCAATATTCAATTGCTCGAATCATGCTCACCAAAACCATTGCAATGACATCAATAATAGATGATACATATGATGCCTATGGTACAGTTGATGAACTTGAAATTTTTACGGAGGCCATTATGAGGTGCATATTTCTTTCTTTTAAATGTATCCACAATGTTAAAACAAGTTTCCTAAATTAATCATGCGTTTATTCATGATCGTAATCAGGATATTGTCTTTTTTTTTCCCAGATGGGATATCAGTGAACTTGATCGACTACCCGAGTACATCAAACCATTCTATAGTGCTCTTCTAAGTCTTTATGAGCAATTTGATGAAGAATTATCAAAAGAAGGAAGATCTTACGCAGTTCATTATGCAAAAGAAGCTGTAAGTACTACATTCACGATTGTTCCACTGTTGGTATTAAGTTCCTATGTTTCTTGCTTTTGGTTATTTTTATACTCAATTTCCCCTCCTCAATTTACTCAAATTTCTACTGATTGTATGCAGTTGAAAGAGCTTGTGAGGACATACTACGTGGAAGCCAAGTGGTTTATCGAAGGATACTTGCCACCATTTTCCGAGTACATGAGCAATGCCTTAATTACATGCACTTACGTTTATCATACAACTACATCCTTGTTGGGGGTCAAATCTGTCACCGAGGAAGAGTTTCAATGGCTGAGCAGTAAACCTAAAATGCTTGTTGCAAGTCTCATAATATGTCGACTCATTGATGACATTGCTACCTATGAGGTATGAAATGAATTGAATCAATTCTACAAATATGCAACTTTAGTTCACTTATCTAACTGTTTTTCTCCAAATTTTGTCTTATTGAAGGTTGAGAAGGAAAGGGGCCAAATTGCCACTGGTATCGAATCATACATGATGGAGAATGGTGTGAGTAAAGAAGTGGCGGTCGATAAGTTTTTTGAAATGGCTACAAATGCTTGGAAGGATATTAATGAAGAGTGCCTGAAACCAACTTCCTCTCCTAGGGAAATTTCGTCGCGAATTCTCAATCTCGAACGCATTATAGACGTCACTTATAAAGGCAACGAAGATGGATACACACAACCACAAAAAGTTCTAAAACCTCACATCGTTTCTTTGTTTATTGATCCTGTTGAGGTCTAATGCTAATTCGGTGAAGTTGGTGACAAATTGATGTAATCGATAATGATTTTTTTTTTATCTTTGTTGTTACCTTTCCATAAGCATCAAATACGTTGTACTCATTATTAATTGCTTATTTTATTCATCAGAGTTTGACCACATATCCATATTTATAATATCTTCACTTTTGCTACTCGGGTGTTTTAAAAATTTTGTTCCTTAGCTACTTAAAGTCTCATATTAGATTACAATTCAAAATCTAAAGTACAAAACAATATAATTACTGTCAACGTATGAGTATGAGATTGACCACAGTTGTTTTACACAAACTAAATACTTTACCAAAGCTAAAAAATATTGACATCCTACACTACAATAAATAAAGCCTTTTACAACGTTCAAAAAACGTTGCTGAAGACTTTTTGCAACGTTTGGACGTTTGTTGCAAAGCTTGATGTTGCCATAGAGCGGAAGGATACGGCAACGTTGCCTTTTTTAAACGTTGCTAATAACCTTTTGCAGCGTTTTTTTAACATTGCTAATAACTTTTTCGCAACTTTTTTTGAACGTTGCTAACAACTTTTTGCAACATTTTTTGAACGTTGTCGTAGGGTTTTTTTTTTAACAACAATTTATGAAAATTGATTGACAAAATTGAAAATGACTCTTTATGAACAAATTTTGAAATTGTATAAAAATTGATAATTGCATTACAAATATCTGAATCAATACACTTGAACATTAGAATGTGATACAAGTGGAGAAANATACAACACCACCTAAATAAAAAGGAGATTCAAAATGTGATACAACACCACCTAAAATTGTGAAACATTGCAAGCTTGCCATAATTCAACTATCGATCCGTAATTACCTCTCAAACTTCAGAATCCAATTTGAAGGAGCTCATGAAGAATCATGCCTTGCATCCAATTCATCTTTGACACTCTTTTGAACTGTTGATTCGGGCACTTGAAAAGCAGGGTGGCCGTCGTATTTGGCTCCAGTTATAAGGTTCCCATCACTGGTGCAAAAGGCCCCGGTCTCTGGTTCTACTCAATGAGCACCAGCATCAATTAGTATTGGTTTCATAGCAGGAAAGGCTGTGCATTTCTGGCCCTTAACTACACCTGCTGCAGCCAAAGTCAACCGTCCATGGCAAATGGAGGTAATTGGCTTTCGTGACTCGGAAAACTTCTTAACCAATTCTACAACACATTCATTCATTGCAAGATATTCCGGAGCACGTCCACCTGGTATGATCAACCCATTATATTTGGTAGCATCTATTTCATCAAAAGTTGCTTTGAGGGCAAAAATATGACCCTGTAACTCAGAATATGTCTGCGGCCATTTTTAGAATGAGAAGAATGGTGCATAGAAACCACAGATGAGGATGGAGCGCCTGTTCGTTAAT